TAGATAGATAGATAGATAGATAGATAGATAGATAGATATAGATAGATAGATAGATGATGCATACATGATATATACATACCTATATACGTATATATGAGTGTGTGTGTGTGTGTGTGTGTGTGTGTGTGTGTGTGTGTGTGTGTGTGTGTAACCTGGGTGGCCCATGAAGCATTTTGCCTGACACTGCCTAGGTATGATTTGGGATTCATGGACAGAATGAGTACTCCCTGTGGGCCTGTGTGAGGGGGAATCCATAAAGAGAGAGAATAAACTTTGGGAGGAGGATATGTAGGGAAAAGTCAGTTCCTCATCACATCCCGGATTTCCCAATTTTATTATCTCTCCACAGATCTTGCCCTAAAGAGAGTCTGGAACCCTGTGTGTCCTCTTTCAAAGCAATAAATAAGAATTTCTCTGCTCTCTAAAGGTTTTGTGCTAGCTCCAACCTTCATTACAGCAAGTAATAATTGTCTCCCAATTCTAAATGATACCTAAGCTAAAACCTGCCCAAAAAATGTCCTTGAGCAGGTTACGTAAATAAATTATAAACATCCAGGGACCATCCTACCCAGACACTATAATAAGCAACGACAAGACCAAAATCCAAACACCTTATCCAGGAATGAGGGAAAGCGGTGTCTTCCAGATTGGAGTGGGTACAGGACATGGCGCGGGTATAATCCCGACCCACTTTGAGATTGTAGCAGGGTTTATAGCAATACTGCATGAGCAAACCTGGACCCTGGCACAAAGTCTTAGACCAAGAATATTAGCAAATAGAAAACTCTTGGCACAATAAATAAATACTGTGCAAAGTCAGCTACCTGGGCAGAGTCAGTCCCAGTGACTCCGTTTTAAACCTTATTTAGACTTATTTAGGTGCATGTATAGCCAGCCTGCAGGACATGAGGAAACTGCATACACACTAATTCCATCTCCCTATGCTACTGTGATGAGGTGGCACTAAACCCATATCTTCACTGATGGCATTCACCAATCAGCATACTTTCACCTTTATATGGAAGTTGTTTATTCCTGTCTATAAAAAGCAGCAGAGCCACCCACTCCAACGGCTTGCTGCCTTGATGTGCTAATAAATTCCTTTGTCTTATTTCCCAAAATTTTCCTTGTTGACCAGGGTGAGGCTGAACCAGTATTTTCTCTTAAAAAATATAATGGCAAAATGAAGTACCAGAAGAAAGAATTACTCCAAAATAATTACAAATAAAATCTGAACCAGCTTGACCCTCATGATAAGCCATTTCAACAACATTCTGCCTAGAAGCCTTAAAATCACTCATCACCATGAGCTTCTTGACATTTCTACTTTGCTCTTCTCAACCCTAGAAAACTATAGTCAGCTTCTTCACCTATCTCCCAATGAAATCTCCCCCCCACCCAGAATTTGATCTTCATTCTACCCTTTCAGTGTCTGAAATTTCTTATTATTTGTCCCCAGGATCAAAGCAGTCACAGAGGTTTATAGATTTTGACCCTATAATGTCCTTCCCCTCCTTTTTAGTCCCACCACCAAACTAGCTCTAAACTTCAATAACTCTCACTTGAACCGTTATAACTCCTCATTGTTATTTCCATATCTATATATAGAAATGTATTTATATATCAATATCTATATTCTATATCCATATATAGATATTATATGTCTATATCTCTCCCTATAATCCACCCTCCTATCTAATAAATCTTCCTGAAACACAACTCTGATATCATCTTTCTCATCAGTAAACTTCAATGGCCCCTCATTGTTGACCAAATGAAGTCCACATTCCTTGTATAACATTCAAAACCACCATAATTTCATTCCAAATTACCTTTCCAGTTTGATCTCTTACCACTCCTCTTCACACACACAGACATACAGACACACACACACACACACACACACACACACACACACACGTGTACACAAACACTATTTTCTCCAAAAAATAAAAGACTACTTTTCCCATTTCCAAAACCTTGCTCCATTTTTTCCCACTCTTCTGCTTCTTCTCATACTATTTCCCATACCTGCAATGTTCTGCCTTACACCTTAGCTCTGTTCATACATATTCTTTCTATCCATTGCCATTTTAGGTACCACCTCTTCCAGGAAGCTTTTCCTGACCACTCCTGCTCATGATGACCGATCCTTCCCCTAAACTAATAATAGTCACTGACCAGAGCTACTACCATTAGGCATAAACCCTAAGGTCTGTTCCTCTCTTTTGGCATTTAATCATACACTGCCATTTGTTAGCTCGCACATTGCTATCACAAATTGTCATTAACATCTCTAGTGCCACTTGACTTTTTGTGGTTTCATGCTTTCCCTCTACAATTATATTTAAAAGTCCTTGAGGGCCTCACAAAATATTGTCCTTCTCTGCATATACCACAATTCCTTTATACAGCAATGGATTAAACCAAGTAGGTTTTTGTGGAATGAATGAAGTGATGGAATTTGATAGCACCATGAATTAGTAAATTAATGGATAGGTGGATGAAGAGTTAAAATCTGATCACAATTTAAAGGAGTAGAGTGACAAGTTATAATGAAGGTTTGGGGTAGGGAGAACTGAGGAATACTGAGGAAAGAACATATGACTTAGAGTGATGAACCCTAAGACCAAAGAGGTCAAAATAGCAAGAAGGAGTTCCATGCCATGCCCAACATAAGGAAAGTACTGCATCACCTCTGTGGAGACAAGTAGGATTCCTGGCTTCCTTTAAAGCACAGCTCAAGTCCAGCTACTACACATGGCCTGTCCTGATTGCTCCAGGTACTAAGGACTCTCTCACTCTTATAATTAATTTGTATTACTTTTTACATATTTTATATTTGCTCACTCTTCTCATGATTTATCCTACTCCCCAACCAAGTGCAGCCCCAGCAAAATGTAAATGCCTTGAAGGCAGGGATTGTTTTGTTTTGGATTCATATCCCTAGAACATAACAAAAATGCCTTGTACACAGTAAGCATTTCAGAAATATTTGTTCAATTGAATTTGTAGCTAGGTGGTGCAATGGATAGAATGCTGAGCCTGGAATCAGGAAGACCTGAATTCAAATCTAGCCTCAGAAATTTAATAGCATTGTGACCCTGGGGAAGTCATTTAACCACTACATGTTTCAGTTTCCTCAGCTGTAAAATGGGGATAGTAGTACGGTTTTCATAGGGTTGTTGTGAGGATCAAATGAGATATTTGTAAAGTCCTTAGAATAGCGACTAATGCATACTAGGCACTTAGTAAATGCATATCACCTTTCCTTCTCCTTCATTTTTTAAGTATAATAGAAGAATACTATGAACCTCCAAATTGGGATAGTTAGACTGACTTAGAAATGATGAATGAATAAACTACAAGAATGTTAATACTCAGAGACTTTAATTATACAAGAATAGGTTAACAGAACTCCTTATCAAAACAGAAATCAAAGAGGATTTAGGGGATGGATCAAAAGACAGAATAGATCATTTTGGTATACCAGTGGTCATCCCAATAAACAGGAAAGGATAAAACACTTTACCTTGGTCCTTATTAGTTGACGGGAAGTAATGTAAGAGATTAACATGGATAGGTACCAATATAATAATAATCACAACAAAATCATTTCCAAGTGAATCAATTGACCAACAAGCGGTTATTAAGCACTTATGTTCAAGACACTGTGCTACTACTGGGATTACAAACACAATGATGAAACTGGCTTCAGGAGCTTAAATTCTATTGGGGGAGGGGATAGGGAGGAATGATAGGGAGATGGAAAACCAAAGGAATCACTTGTGAAATTATGTAATTTTAGGGAAAAAAATTTTAAATGCAAGTTTTAGTTTGGGAAATATTGAAAGTAAAAATTAAAATTCAAAGACTCACAGGAAGACTGGAAACTATTTTTACAAATTCTTATTGGAAGCTCAGAGTGAATATGCATGAAAGGGCAAAAGTAGTAGTCATAAGGAGTGCTAAATGGCAAACAAGTTAACACAGAGCATGTTTCACATTGCTTAAAAAGCTGATAAATTCTTATGGTGAAAAAAAGCCATTTTCAAAAAAAAAAATTGAGGAGAACCTAACCTAGCAGAATTGGGGAATATTCTTTGTTAAGTTCAAAATAAATATTAGGCAGATCAACCCTAAATCAAACAACTTCAAGGAGAGACTAGGTGGTGTAGTGGATAGAGCACCAGTCCTGGAGACACAAGAACCTGAGTTCAAATTTGGCCTCAGACACATAACACTCACTAGACTCTGGGCAAGTCACTTAACCCCATTGCCTCCAAAAAAAAAAAGCCAAAAGAACTTCAAAAAGAGACTTTAAAGCAAATGATAATAAAATCTTTAAAATATCACAATATGAATAGTAGTAATACTTTAATTATCCAAAAATGGATCAACAAGTTCTTTAGAGGAATAGACAAGGGCAGGGAGTTTGTTTGATTGTTTTATATTGGACAAATGACTGTTTCCTGGAATAAATAATTTTAGAACCCACAAGAAAGGAAAGTGTACTGAAGCTGGTAATAAGGAGTTAACCCTTAGCCTTTTCCTTATCTTGAAGTATGTGAAATTGTGAAACATCACCTCTTTCTTGAAACTCTTCACACTGGACTTCTGGGGACACTAAATCCTTTGTATTCCCTTTTGCTTTTCTGACCACTGTTTCTCTGTTTCCTTCTTTTAGCATTTTTTCCTCCTATGACTTAAATAGAGCCGTTCTCCAATTTTACAATCAAATTCTTTTCCTTCCTGTCTATGCTTTCTCCTGGTAACCTCATAAAAATTCATTTTTTAGCTTTTTTTTATGTAGACAGTTGCCAAATATACAGCCTCAACCATTCTCCTAGCTCCAGACCCATATTTCCAACTGTGTTCAATTCCATTTTAATGTTCTTCCAGGAATTCAGTGTGTACCAAACCATCTTCTCATCTTCAAATGAGTTCTTCTAAGTTTTCAGTTATAATCATTAGAGGTTTTTGTGTCCTCATCAAGTCATTTAAGAGATGTTACTGAAACTCATGAGCTGGCTGCACACTCTCCTCATTGCCAACTTCATCTCTTTGTTTCTAAGTGTGTAGATCACTGGATTTAGAAAGGGAGTCAGAACTACATTAAAAATAGCAAGATATTTGTCTAGGTGTGATGGGTTGAATGGCCACGTATAGAAAGATAAGCATGGAACAAAAAACAAAATCACCACAATGATGTGAGCTGAAAGAGTAGAGAGAGCCTTAGAGGAACCACCTGATGAATTCTTTTGAACAGTGACTAGGATGAAAATGTAAGATAAGATCAAGATGAGGAAGACACCTATGGACATGAAGCCACTATTGATGGTGATCGTGAGATCTAGTCTATATGTGTCAATACAGGCAAGTTTGATGAACCTAGGGAGATCACAATAAAAACTGTCCAGCTTATTTGGGCCACAGAAGGGCAGGTTAATTATAAAAGCCATTTGGACCACTGAATGGATGAAGCCAATGATCCAGGCAGCAGCCAGAAGCAAAGAGCACATTCTAGGACACATAATAATCAGATAATGGAGAGGCTTACATATGGCAACATATCTGTCAAAGGCCATGGCTATAAGCAGCACCATCTCAACACCACCAATCAAATGAATAAAAAACATCTGGGTGATGCAGCCAGAGAATGAAATGACTTTGTGCTTTCTGAAAAGGTCACATATCATCTTAGGGGAGGTAGCAGAGGAAATCCCCAAGTCAATGAAAGAGAGGTTAGCCAGCAGGAAGTACATGGGAGAATGTAAGTGAGGGTCAGAAGTCACTGTGAACATAATGAGAGAGTTTCCCAGCATGCTTGCCAAATAGAACACAGAAGAAAATGCAAAGAGTAGAAGCTGAATATCCCAAGAATTGGAAAGTCCCAGGAATACAAACTCAGACACCGCAGTGTGATTCACTCTGTCCATTGATTCAGTCAGCAGGTCAACCTCTGAAATTACCTTAAGAAAAGAACAAAGAAAGAATCCAAATTACTAGATATGTAAATAATATCCCAGAATCAAAGCCAGTTCAACAGACAGTTAGTTGTCAGGGTCTAGTATTTTGCAAAGCATAATTAACCAATTCATATCATTGAAATTTAACTGGAAAGTCACTGACATAGAGCACTGCTCCAAGTTAACCCTATGACTTCCTATGGTACTTCTCTAGCTCTTTTCTGGAAAGGCTTTCCTGAAAACAAAGGCAAGATAGCTGCATGGTACATGATTGGGGGAATAGAGAAGGAGGTAGACAGGGCAAGATAGCATAGCAGAATATGAAAAGAAAACAAAAGAATTAGTGAATTAATTTATTTCACCCTGCAATTGGTGATTTTTGTTGATGAATACTTGCATGGCAAATTTAATATTCTTGTTTCTTTTTGTACCATGGACTCCTCCTATCTTATCAAGAACATTCAGGGGGGCAGCTAAGCAGCACAGTGGATACAGCACTGGCCCTGGATTCAGGAGGACCTGAGTTCAAATCCAGCATCAGACGCATAACACTTACTGGATGTGTGAGCCTGGGCAAGTCACTTAACCCCATTGCTAACCAAAATAAAAAAAAAAGAACATTCAGGGTCTCTGATTCACACTCTCTTTCTCCCAGTGTTAGCAGAGGAGCATTAGACTCAGCCTAACAAGCATTTATTAAGCACCTATTATATGTATGCCAGGCTCTGCGCTTAACCTTGGGAATACAAAAGAAGAAGTTCTGCATCAATGTCAAATTCTGCTGTTTGCATCATTTAGCCGTATATATGTGTTCCAAACAATGGTGTTGTTTTGATTTTTATTTCTCTTAAATCATATTCTAGTCAAAGGATCTTATACACCTGTTTCCAAAATATCTCTTAAATCCATCCTCTCCTATTTTTCTCCATCATCATTATTCTCCTATGTAGGCCTTCATTTTCACCTATATAAACTGTTGCAGTAACGTCTGATTGCCTCTGTCTTTTCCCCTCTACTTTCTCCCCTCTCCAATCCTTCCATCACATCTCTTCCAGCTTAAGCTTCTTGACCTGTGGATGAGATCATGTCAATCAACTGCTCAAAAGAGTTCAACAGCTCTACTCTAAACCCAATCAAGTTTAGGATCCTTAGTCCAGAATTTAAGATTATCTACAATCTGGAGCTACTCTACATTTCCTGGCTTATTTTATACTAGTCCCCTCTTGACACCATACCCTCCTACAATACTGAGCCTCTCACCCTCCCTAAACATATTCTGTGCCATGTAATACTTGTAACACAGCACACTCTATTCCCTACTTCTTGATCTATCCCCAATATCTCCCTAATCAAATGAAATTCCTGCGTGAAGTTTTCCCAACCCCTGTTACCAGAAGAAAATAATGACACTCTAAAACATAACCTGGTATTTTACTTGCATTTCTCTTCATCAATTCAATTTAATACATATTTATTCATCAATAAGAATTTATTAGGACTTACTACATGGAAGCTAGGCTAAGAACTGGAGAAAAAGACAAAAGTGAAATAATATCTATAGAGAAGTTTACAGCCTACCGGGGCATTAGGACATGTGCACAGTTAAGTTAATACAAGATAATTTGAAGAGGAAGAAACCATCAGCAATTGGGGTGGGGGAAGGATTATGAAGGATATGGCAATTGAGCTTATATTTGATGAAAACTAAAGATCTCATGAGGCAGAGATACGGAGATCAACTTGTGTAAAGATGGGAGATGGAAAGCGAAATGCCTCAGGTAGTTACTTTAGTTAGTTAATTTTCAATTTAGCTGGAAAGGAGAGTTACTGAAGGGCAATAGTAAAGAATAAGTCTAAAACAGGAAAGTTAGAGGCAGAATGTTGACTGAGAACTTCAAATTTGATCCTAGAAGCAAGATGAAGCCCCTGAAGATTTTTGATCAAGGAAATAACATAGTCAGACCTTTGTCTTTAAAAGATTATGAAAAATGAACTCATAAAATAAGTAGAGGAAGATAAATGAAGCACAGAATTTTAGGGCTGTAAGTGACCAGTCCAACTCCCTCATAGATCATCAACTACCTATTGGATTTTTCTTACTGGGTGTCTCAGGGACATCTAAAGTTCAACAGGCTCAAAACAGAACTCATCTTTCCCAAAAAAAAAAAACCTAGTCCTCTTCCAAACTTTCATTTTCTGTCTCAAAAGTACCACCTTTCTTCCACTTTTTGAAGTTTATAACCTCAACTCATCACTTGCCCTCACCTCACATATCTAATTAATTGCTAAATCTTGCCATTCTACATCTACAACACATCTCTCATCTTCTCCTTTCTCTCTATTCACCCAGTCAACATTCTAGTTTAGGTCCTCATTACCCATAGCCTGGACTTTTACAATGGCTTCCTTACTTCAAATCTCTCCTCACTCCAGTCCACCCCACACACAGCTGTCAAAGTGATTTATTCTTAAGTTCAAGTCACAATCTGTCACTCCCTTACCTATACAAAACTTTCTTCTAGGATAAAATATAAACTCCTCAGTTTGGGCTTTCAAAACCTTCATAACCCAGTCCCAATCTAATTGTTCAGTGCCATTGTATATCACTTCCCTTCCCACACTTTTCCATCCAGTCAAACTGGTCTTCTTTCTATTCTTCACAAAAGGCATTCTACCACCTCTCTCTGTCCCTTGGCACTGGCCATCTTCGATACTTAGAAAACACACTTCTTCCTTCAAGATGCAACTCAAGCTTCACTTTCAACTCTGTCTTTCCTGATTTTACAACTACTAATGCCCTCCCTCCCTAATTACCTTAAACAAATTAGATTATACAGAGGAAATATACTGAGAGAATGGGGGAGAAGAGAGATTTCCATCAAAAAAAAGTTAAGATTCAATAAATTAAGAGAAAGGAGATAATCTTAATTCTTCCTTGACTCTTGATTTTGATCTTTACCTTTGGGTCCCTAACAACTCTTCGATCTTATCAGGAGATAAAATTAAGTTCATTTTCCTGATGGATTCCTATCTCCTTAATATTGAATCCTTCATATTGACTGTCCTATTCTGTATGGAATAGCAAAAAGAGCATTGCCTCAGGAGTCAGAGGACTCAGAATCAAATTCTACATCTTGTCTTCTCTGTGTGATCATGGATAGGGCACTTAATTTCTCTGAGACTTCATTTTCTCATTACTAAACTGACAGGGTTGGCTAGTTGTCCTCTTAGGTCCCTTCTAGCTCTATACCATTATATAAACTCCATCCTCCTTCCCATTATACCCAGCAGCACCCTCTTATTCTGTGCAATGGTAAGCCTGCCCCTAATATTGTCTCTTCATCACTAGATCATTGGCATTTGGACTATCCATACTCCCTGCTGGAGACTGTATTTCAATCTTTCTCACATATCTCTTCTGTCATGTTAGTCCTCCCCCTATGTCTTCAGTTTTCACTTCTTCACTGATTCTTTTCTTCTACTTGACTTTGCAGAATTGTCAGGAAGTTGGATGGGCTCCCAAATTTCAACCTGCTTACAGTGTCTCAAAGCACTAAGAAATACATAAAATGCTGCCACAGGTGGAAAGGCACCTCATTAACAACAGTAAAGGACAGCAGCTAGGTGATGCTACAGAGAATGGGGTTGCCAGCCTGATATCATTTGGCCAAAAGAGCTCTCCTAGGATTCTATTGGTTTTCCCATGATAACTATAGGAAGACACTGTTAATAAAGAGTGCTTAGGGAAGAGGTGTGCATGCTTCTTTTGAAGAGGACCCTTTGATCCTTTGACATATATACATACACACATGTATATGCTTATATGTATAACATGTATATGTGTGCATATGTGTATACATAAAATATGTACATACCCAATTGTAATATATTCTATATAATCATATTCTATGTAACATTATGTGTATATTTGTGTACATATATAGATGTAGATATGTTTATAGACGTATAAACTTTGATCTAATACCACCAAGGAAGGATTTAAAACTTGTATGAGTAAACTCATCTACTCATATTTGGTGGTACTACCAGTCCTATGATTGTAGCTGATAAAAGTTTTAAATTTTTTTAAAGGAGAGATACTAAGAAAGGGACATTAATAAACTATATCTAGGTGACTGCATACCTTCTTACTATCAGTCTAAAAATCATTGGAGTCTCCGAATATGATTTCACACAGATTATTGACTGAGAATTAGAAATTGTTCCAAAAATCTTGACTTCTAAGCCAAGTATCTTTGTTCTTCCAATACTTTTCATTTTTATTCTAAGAATTAATAAAAAAAAATATGAAGTCAACCAATCAATAAACATTTATAAAACATCTACCATGTGTCAGGCACTATGCTAAATCATAAAATGATTGTTCCATTTATGGTGCCCCTGGGAGATGGGTTTGGCTGTTTTAGCCCCCGGGGTAGGTAAGAGGTGCCTAAAATATGCTAATTGAATTATATTGGATTGGATTAGATTAGATTGATTGAGATGTTGGATGGGTACTATCTTGAAAGCAATAAAATATTTTATGTTTAGTGTGGGTAGTTCCTTTAACAAGACCAATCATAAATACTCCTTAACCTTGTGTCTAAATTGACTGTCTTCAAGATTATTGATGCTTTTTTTATTAAATATACTATTTCTCACCAAATTCTTGTCAAGCATTCCCAACTTCCAAGAAGCCTAGATGTCTTAATAAGGAATCTGAATGAAATTTTAGTAGAGCAAAACATTTTATAACTTCATAAAGTAAAACTAACCTTCCTCATACCACTTCCTATTATGAATGGTTCCAAGTTAGACGGGCTTTGCTGTCATTACAACATTCATATCAACCAATTATGTATTTGGCTACCTTCCCATAGGCTGTCAAGGGTTTATGATAGTCTATTTTTCTCAGAGATGGAGCTAATATCTTCTACTCCTTGTTTAATCCCTACAATGGTTAGTGATTCAAGGCAGCTAGTGTC